CAAAAGATGTGTTTGTTGCACAAAATGAGAAGTCTGACACCTGAGCAGGTATTTGCAGGCTTTTTCCCAGGTTAGTTGTTTAGTTTAGACATATTCATTGTTTTTGGCAGTTGCTGCCTTATGTCAGTTAGGAGTCAAAGCGGTCCTGTTTTCTTTTGTATCATGTTTAATGTGTCAGCTGGTTTCCATTTGATACTGCATTCCCTGGCTGACTCTTCTATTAGATTGTGCCAAGTATTCAGAACTGGGTAGTTCAATGGTCCACTTGAATCAATAATGCAATAGAAATGAAGGAACTGATAGTGATTTAGTGTTTTGATCTGGCACAGGAAGTCAAATCAGCATGTTTCATAACAGAGCGCAGTGACATGTAATCGGTTACCAGAAAAGACGTGATGAAGTAGGAACACCTAGGAGAAGCATTGCAGCGTGACTTCAACCAGAGGGAAGTTACAAAACACATCACATGATCGAGTGAGCGGACGTTCAGTCCGCAGGGTTATCCCATTATGTTTCAAAGTAACCTCGAATACTGAGTCACGGTTGCGTAGTTCATATGTAACCGAGAAACACAATCATTTGTTTTTATGTTTCAGTTTCTTGTTTTTTGGATTATTAACAAGAAGCCTGCTTACCTTCTATCTAAAAAGCATTTAAACCTCAGTCATAATCTTGAGTCATAGAGCAGACGCCCTCTGCCTTGGGTGCTGATGGGGACTTTAATGTTCTCCAGTCGTCTTGCAGGTGAGCATGAAGCTTTCAGGCATCAAGCATGATTGAAGCCACATATTTGACCTCACTTTTCCACCTAATGTGCAGTCAAGCTATAGTCAAGCTTCCAGGAATTAGTGCATTTTTTTCTTTCCTGCATCGTGTTTTCAGCATTACATCATTATATGCTGGATTCTCGGAATCAAAAGCCAGTTCCAGTTTTGTTTTAGAGTCACATTCCTGAGACATTATCACTTCCTTTTATGTTTTTTGGATGATTTCTTTTGCAAAGAATGATGTCAGAATTATTGCAGTAGAGCATCTCCCCACCTGTATCAATTTTATATTATCTTACAAGACTACTTGTAAGCAGAATCAATAATGGCACTAAATAAGAGTACAGTCTTGTCAGCATCCATACTTATCACTGACACTGATGGGACACAGCTTGGTAGTGTTTGGTGCTATAAAAGCATCCACATTTAGTGTGTGGGTACTTAGCTTTGCTTGTGGTCATTCATTTTTCTATGAAAGTGGTGAAAGATGTCCAAGATTGTTTCTTTTAATCCGATAGAAAGCCAAAAACCCTGACAGAGTGGAGAGACGACTTCCTCTGAACAGAATACCTCTGACAAATAAACTGAATAAGTTAGCTGAGGCTTTAAGAAATGTCACATATTCAAAAATAATATTTTATTGTGTTTTCTGGGGGGAATGCTTTTCTAATATATTATTTTCAAATCGTGGGTTCTATGTGAACCAAAGTTGAAAACATTTAGCTCCTATACAAACCAAAGCTGAGGCTTTAGTTTGCTCTAAATCATCCGTTTGAGGCAGTTTATGCCCCGGCGAGGTGTCCGTCCGCAATAGAGAAGAATTGTTCCCAGAGTATTGGCCAGATTTTTAGAGAAACATGCACCCAGACATCATTAATGGGTGTTTACGAAATTGCAGTCAAGGTCATATTTGCCAGTTTGCAGGCAGAAAGCCTGTGAATAGAGATGGATTGTGAGCTGAATGAGCGATTGTGTCATTCTGGTTTCTGCTCCCCAGTATGATCATCTCTGGCATACTGCTGTGGCTGTAAGCACAGAAGCCCCGCCCACCTGATATTCGAACTTTAATTGTGAAGGTCCCCCAATGAGAAGAAAAGTTGGCTTGACAATAGCTTTTATCTGAGTGGGTGAGAGAATGATATGGAAACAAAAACTTTCTGAATTGAACATGTTAAATATACTGTACAAAATGATGTATTTAAAATAAATGACATGTGGCACTAAATAAGAGCACACTGACAACAAGGCTGTCTCTCTTCCACAGCATGTCTTTATCCTGTCTTCCTTCTCTCACCCCAACCAATCACAGCAGATGGCCCCGCCCCTCCCTGAGCCTGGTTCTGCTGGAGGTTTCTTCCTGTTAAAAGGGAGTTTTTCCTTCCCACTGTCGCCAAAGTGCTGCTCATAGGGGTCATATGCTTGTTGGGTTTTTCTCTGTATCTATGAAGCGCCTTGAGGCGACTTTTGTTGTGATTTGGTGCTATATAAATAAAATTGAATTGAACTGACATAAAAGTGTCACTGTGCCCTTATGACCAGTTAAATGTTTCAATTGTTACAAAAGAACACAAGAAAATGCTAAACTGAATTCTTTGGTCTCTTCCAAATAAATAAGCTAGTCATTAATACAAAATCAGTTCTAAATAAAAAAGCTGTCTTTGCACTATATCGTTTATTTTGCGCAGATTCAAGCCGTCTTAATTCAAGTGGGCAGTCGGCCTTATATGGATCAGATGTGTGACTTGACCAACAATCAGATATGGTAGTGAAGTGTGACACAGCTGTTCAGCTGTCTCTCTCCACTCCATGTATAGCTGCGAAAGTGCCGTCTGTGGAGTTGATAATGAGGGTCAATTACTTTAATGAGCCACTTAAAGTCGACATTTTCGACTCTGCTTCACTGGCATCGTGTATATCCACAGTATATCCTGCCTTTGTGGAAACTTCGATGCAGTGTGGAGTGCGGGCTGCTCAGCTTCTTTGCCAGGCTTCAAACAGCCAAAGTATCTCCACACTGCTGAATTCCTCTGACCCTTCTTTTCAACACCTCGACTTTTGATCCTCGGGCTGTGTGAGTCAGTGTTTGGTGACACTGTCACTCCAGTTTTTATTTACACTTCCTGCTGTCATTTTGTCTTTTGTCTCGTTCACACACGCTGGTGTCTGCGGCTGCAGCAGCTCAAATATTAGCACAGGCGCTCCTCCTACGCTGTATGTGTCGGCATAACCCAATGCGGCTTTACCGCTATCCCAACAACACGATCGTTCTGGCACAGCACAATTCTCAATGAGTTCAGTCAACTTCATAATGACAACATTGTCTCATATATCTAGAAAATTATTTTAGGTTAAATATTTAGTTTTATCCAGCTCTAGTAGACGGTAGATTAAGTGTTCTAGTGAAATTGAACCACTGATCTGTGAGCATGTAGCTTGATAAAAGACTTAAAACACTAAATCGATGTTTAAAATAGTTTTTCCGCATAATAAGCTTAGCGTGAAATTTGCTGTACACCAGTTTGTCTGCTGGGACCTAATGTGACACATTCAGACTTTGCATGTGCTGAGGAACAGTTGAGTTTTCCTAACTTGAAAAACTGGTTCCCTGCTCATTGTTAATTTTCTCATGGGTTGAATGTAAACAGGCGGTTGTAGCCTGTGCGGGCCTGTCCTCTTGGGTGGATGCTTAGAGGATGAAAATCATCACAGCAGACTGCATTACTCATAAAATATGTAATTGTTAATATAAATGGGAATGGTTGATGGTGCAATAACCGACGGCGAGCCCTCTGAAATGTTTACTGTATGTGTTCTGTTGGGTTGTCGTCTTCTGTCCTGGACGTGTTTGAGCAGAGCCTGAAGATGCTGACAAACACCGTCACACGTGCAGCGCAGAGTGCATGTGCATAACTTTGTGGGAAATGTGCAGTCTGACACCTCAGGCCAGTGAAAATGCCTGAGCAAGAAAGTGTGGGTGCCTTTAGTGCTCACAGACGAGCACATGTAAACACCTCGCGTGTAGTGGACAGGGTGACAGTTTGGGAGATATTCTTACTGATATTTTCACAGGATTTAAACCTTGTTTTTGTTCCCGTCTGTGTTAATGAGGCTCAATGTGTGTGTTCAACAAACAAATTTCTGTGTGTGTTTTACCATCTGAGCACATCCTTGCTTCCCGAATGGCTCAGTTAATCTGCAGAGGGAGCAGGGCCTCAGGACGAAGGGTGGGGTGAAGATGAGGCTCGAGTTTTGAGCCGGTCATGGAGCTGTAGTGTCTTTGGCACGTTCATTACTAGAGTACTTTTCCACTTGTTTGGTTACATCCTCTAATCCAAAGCTGTGTAGAAAAAAAGAAAAAGGTGGCACTCCCTCATTTGACTGCTTATCAGCTTTTTCAGGCGCAGTTTGTTTATTGACTGCTCAGCATGTTGTGCTGATTTGGCTCTGGTCCTGAGCTTCAGGCTACAGGTGGATGTTGCCTCTTGTGTTTGATGCTTTTCTTTGAGCCTGCACTGAAGCTGAACTGGGAACCCATTCAAGCTTTCTGTTTCCTAAAATGGTTATCTCAGAAATGTTCTTGTAAATGCATTAAGTCAGTGTCTAACATGGAGGTGACTGAGCCTGTGTCCCACTGACAAAAGTATTGCAGTATTTGTACATTTGCATTATTGTGGACTTGATGTCTTTGGCGACAATCCAGAGAAAAAAGTGGATTTCAAATATTTCTTTCTGCTGGAACTTCACATTAAAAGCATTTACCTGGCAAATGTTTAGTTCACTTTTATTATAAACTAGTAATAGTAAAGAGCTCAAGTCTTGGAGACACAAGACCTTTTGTCAGTTTTCAATATCCGATCAGCTTGTAGTATTGCTTGAAATAATTTAGCAGGCAAAGGCGAGAGACAGACAGTCGCAGTCTGGATTCAAACCCAGGACCTTCCAGCTGGTGCTAACCATCGCACCACCGCACCGCCCAGCCCCAAGTAACAGATGAACAGGAGAGTGAAACCCGAGTGCTTTAAACTAAAGCAAAATCTTCTTTTAAGGTCTCTACCATGGAGCAGGATAATTTACGGTAGATATCCTGTCACATAACTCCATGAGAAATGTTTCCAAAAGGCACAAATGCAGGCTGGAAGCCTTATACTCTGCTGTGGATAAAGACACAGACGCCTGGAGATGTGACGGCCAACTTCTGTTGTTCTATTCTTGTTCTATTTCTCTGACGTCTTCTTTAAAGCCTCCCTCTGCATAAGTGCCGCTGATGTGTCGTAGTGCAGTCTCTGCAGACGAGTCCGTACACTCACAACAACAGCACGGACCTTTGGACTCACACTCTATGATGACATTTGCATCAATCAGACCGTAGTGGACTTATGGATGCAGAACGTATAATCAGTGTGAAAAATTCCCGACCCATAAATTTGTTGGGAAGGAGGAAATTATCCACAGAGGCCAAAACTGTTTTGTGTACCAAGCTGTAAATATGCTTTTTAACTTTGTTAAACTTTAACATGAGAGTCCCAAGAAGAAGGAAAGAAACTTCCTGTTGGCTTCATATTTCATTTCACATTTAAACATTGACTGATCTGTCTAGAATTCAATATAAAAACATATCTTTTATATTATATATCAACAAAAAAACACCTACATCTCACACTAAATGATTGGTGGCACACTGCCAATGATCTGAATCTAAATCGGCTTTTTTCTAAGTGTGAACTTTGTGGCTTTCAGTAGCTTTTATTATTAACTCAAGCTGTGGTATTATAAGTTGTTTGTGTGCAGCTATGCTTTCCAGCCATAGTGAATGCAGGATTTGTGCCAGCGTGCTTGCATGCTAGTGCACCGAGCACTTGAGCAATGGTGGGACTCTGTTGTATGTGTGCGTGTGTGTGTTTGTGAGATGCCTCATTTCCATCCAGTGCAGCGTGTAACAGTCATCCTTTGGTCCCTGTACTCTCAAGGCTTTAGCCTCCACAAAGCGCACTTTGTCACTGTTAATAGGCCGGGGCCTGCAGCTGGGGTGCAGTAAGCAGCGGCCCCTTCTTGTTGCTCTCACCCTGCCAGAGGGGATGATGCTCAACTGGACTGAGATCTGGGGAATTTGGACACCTTGAACTCTTTTTCATGTTCTCCAAACTACTTAAAAAATTTCGAGTATGGTAACAGACGCCAGAAATGCCCTAAACTAATTCAATTCGAGCCTAATACTATAGAGTGTGTGCATAGTGGGATAGACTTGTAAGGTGCTAGCTTTACCGTTTGTCAGAACTTCTGTTTCAGTCACAATAGTCTTTGCTGTGCACGTTTAACCTGTTTGAACCGTAGCATCAAACCTCACCAGGCTACACAGGTTTGATCACTCCTGTGTTTGGCAGTTAAACGTGTTCTTCTTTCAGGTGCATTACTTCAACTTTCAGAAGGTGTTAGTGCGATACATATTACCAGACACGGATAAAAACAGGGCAGAAGATACATTTTTGGAGAAGGAAATGGTTAGATGTTGTTAGATACAATGCAGTGGGTATTTAACCGTCATGAGCATCCTGGCCTTCCTATCTTGCTGCCATTACTTCCAAAGGTAAATAATGCTGCTATCTGTCCACAAATTGTTAAAGAAAATCAGACTAGGCTGCCCTCTTCCACTGCCACATGATCCAGTTGCAATGCTCACACTCCCATTGTGAGCCAGTGGGCAGTGGTCAGTGAGGCCGTGGCTCGCACAAACATGTTCTTATTACATTTTTGCATTTGGTTACAGGCCTCTGCAGTGTGACAATGCCGGGCATTCTTCAAATCAATGTCTGGGTAGGTCTCAAGAGCGACGACAATACGCGATTGTTCTCAGCGTCTGCTCCAGTCCACAGAGATGTCACACTCGAGGACTCTGTCATATAAACTTTAACGGTGGGGGCCATCAGATGAACCAGTTATCCGGTGTGGTGCGTTTGTGTGAGTGGATTTCAGTGGATCAAAGGATCAAAACAAAGCAGGTGGTCAGATTTAATGATGAGCACATCATCATTTCCTTCAGTGCCCTAAATTACAATTCACAGTAGCTGTTAGCCACTTTCTGTCTTCAACCTTTTACTGGAATTTATTTTCTGAAAGTAAGAATAAAAAATCTTGATGATGATGGTGCAAGAAGTGCATGATTTTATTTTTTGGGGGGGGTGAAAGCTATGTCTTTTATCAGTTAATACTGTGCATTTAATTAGTTTTAAATTACAGGTTTTGCATGCAATCAGAGTAACACCAAACAAATCTGATCATCACTTCATAAGTCAATATTTTAACAATAAAGTCTCTGACACTTAAAAATGCACAGGTGCATCACCAAACATCACTGTTGACTGATAGCAACCAAAACTGTATGGATAATCATAAACAATATTGTTATTTTTTATGGGGAGCCAGTGTGGGGAAGTCAAGGTTTTGCTCTTGTCTTGTTGTCTGATTGTGTGCTTGTCTTTGTGTCCCTGCAGTGTTTCCTGTGTGGCGTGGGATTGGGGCCAGTAGTGGCATTGGGTGGAGCCAGGGCTGGGCACGCTGCTTGAAATGGGACCCGAACAGAACAGACCTAGCGGC